TCAGTCACCGATTAAAATAACGTCTGTACCTTTTAGATGAGCACGTTCGTGACACGGACACTCATACTGTAAATCTGAACGAAATCACTTACCGTCTGCTTTTATAGCAGAGAAAGCATGGCGAAAATTTCCACCAAGCTGCCTGCCATCTGAAGGGAGCAAGGCTATCCGTGTACACTTCATCAATAGCCCGTCACCGGGAATTCCTAATAAAATCAGCTGGATAACTAAATGATTAATCGGCGAATCAGTCAGCTTATCCGCTTATATAACAATAGCTGAGCGCGGCAACACATAGGGAATTCGCTCTGAAAAATAACATTTCTGCAAGATTACAACCGCGTCAGCGACACTCTCATGTAGTCGTCACTCTTTTAATAACGACAGCGTACGGATAAATGTTCTCACTGTTCTTCATGATCAGTGTATGTTCGTTGCAGTTTCACTGTTAACCGAGCATTCACTGACAAAAGAACTGGAAATGTCAGATATGGTTAAGTCATTGATTTGACAGTTTTTGCTAACCAGCCTGTGTTCTTCAGTTTAATGCTACTTTAATTTCAGGCTGGCTTAATATGCTAAATTCTGCTGGCATTTTTTTGCACAAGGGCGTGTATATGTTTCTTACCACAGCAGCGTTGAAAAGCGAGGAAATTGTCAGTGATACTTCTGTGTTGTCATGAATGATAAAACAGCACCCATACGAAAAGCGAATACTCATTTCTTACAAGCACCTAAGCGCTGCATCGTGCAAAATCAGCTACAGGTCAGACAAAGTCACAGCCTACCACAACGCTCAATATTATTCGAAATCTTGAGGGTTTTGGACACCGGGCTAAATAGACGAAGGAGTACTGTCGTACGTATGTCTCATAGTCAACATCATCAGCATTTGTCGATCCACAGCTAGATGAAGGCCTCTTCAAGACCTTGCCATGGACTTCTGTCTTCTGCCGCTTGTGTCCAGCTTCAGTTACCGAACTTCTTTAGCTCATCATGTCATCGATCTAGAGGGCTTCTAACGGGTAGTTAAATCTCTCTTGGAATCCAGTCTAACACTGCTTTAGTCACTCCATCACTGTTCAGCTCTTCTTGCAACATATACTGCACATTGTTACTCTGACAGTGACATTACATGCTATTGTCTGTACTCGTATTCATTCATTCGTCATGTATATTCCCAAATGCGTAGCCTGCAGTTCATGAATGACTCTCAGACTTACAGTCTACGTTTCGCTTCCATAGGTTTGCAGTTCACACTGGAAGTACACGCACACACGCACGCACGCACACACACACACACACATATATATATATATACGTATACATTTTCAGTCTTCCAAAAGTGTTTCAAGCCATTTTATTCTTCTGTGGATTTCACATGATTGGTTGTTTGTTGCAGAGATTACCTGCTTCAGATTGTCGTAATTTTGCAGTTTTTAAGCATATCTACGTTGACTTAAACAGGTCACGCGGTAACATTTTTTAAACAAGCCCCGAGTCTTCTCATGTAAATTTCATTCCTGCTTTGATGCTGGAATAGTTCAGCTCTGC